CCTTTATGCATTTCGAGAAAATCGTAAAATATCGTTGTGAGAATAAAGACATATCTATCAAGTTTTTCGTATGCTCCGCCCATGTCCTCTCCTTGTCCAGAGCTCCGCCCATCGCCTCTCGCCACCACTTGCAGTTGCCAGGGCTGCCTACAGGTGTCAAGAGCGCCCTTTAGATAAAGACTTTCCTTGATTCGTGAGATTCAAGCTGTCCCTCTCTCCTCACACTAGTTTTCACTCGTGGTACGGCAGACAAGGTCAGCATCTGCAGTCGACCTCACAAAGGAAATCGCAAAGTGAAATCCTTTTTCCATCCGGCCTGTCCATAAACCCGAGGCAAAGCATGAACTCCACGCCGCAGAAGTCCCCCGGCATCACCTTCTTCCTGCTGACTCTGGCCGTCGCGGCGGCAGCTCAGCAGAGACACCAGTCAGCGTTCCACAGCCAACCGGGGGCGAGTTTCGGCGAAGTGTCCGAGGGCGACTCAGCCTTCCGGTCTCTCAAGGACGACCTGTCCCGAATCACCTCCATCGACGAGAACCTTGGTAACCTCAACGAGCGCCTCAACGAGCTCATCAAAGCCCAGGTGGACCGAGCCAAGTCGCAGCAGCCAGCGAGTCAGCGAGGAGGAGGTAAAGCGTGGATGAGGAATGGCTCCCTTGGTCAATACTTACTATAGGCTACGGCGAGTCTTTCAAGGGATGAGGAGACTCCAGGGATGGTGCAGAAAGAATAAGACAAGAAGATGTTTAGTTTTAGGTTTAGGTTTAAAATTTCAGGGATGCTGAAGACAAATAATATTGATATAATACACATACGCCTATATACGCATGCGTGTAGAATGATTAAATAATATTTCTTTGTTGATGACATGACAGCGTTACATCATTGTATTACTCTTTGTGTCCAGTCTCGGGATTATAATTATTTCTTCTTCAGGAGCGGAGTGCCCGACACCCTTCGTGAGCGTGATGGGCGAGTGTTTCTCCCTGAGCAAGACGCGGCTTCCCTGGCACCACGCCCGCCACTACTGTCTCGGGATGGGCGGCGACCTGGCGACGCCCTCCTTCCTCTATGCCCTCAAGACCTACATTCTCGAGCGCGAAGGTGAGTCCTGCTGAAGACCAAAGAATGGAGGAAGTGTGTGAAGTCTGATTTAACTTGTAACTCTTGCAATATACTTGGCATTAAGAACACCCTTAAAAATCCGACTCCCCTTGGCCTTCCTCCGACAGGCGACGCTGACGTGTGGGTGGGCGGGACGGACGAGGGCTCGGAGGGGCACTGGGCGTGGATCAACAGCAACGAGGACGGCACCAACACGACCATCCCGCCCCACCACTGGGCGCCCGACCAGCCCGACAACGGCGAGGGAGACGGAGAACACTGCCTCATCATGCAGAAGCACATCCACCCGCCGCTCGCCGACAGTTCGTGCGAGCGATACCTCTCCTTCGTCTGCCAGTACCATGGCTAGAGGCTGGGTCTGTTTGAGGAACACTTGCTCGTGGCCCGTGGAGCAAGCGGGCGCTGGCGGTGGAATTCATGTTCAATATTTTTTTTTTTTTTTTTTTTGACATTATTTCTGAGATAATGATCATATTCTGTTTTTATATAGGCTAATCATTTTGTCAATGTAACTGTCTACACGGGCAGTTTTGTGTTATTAAAATATTTTCTTTTCGAATAAATGTTTTTTCATTTCCTTCCACTACATACAAACACTTACGTACATGCCATACATACAGACACCCACGCCCATACCCACCCACACACAGGCAGGCACCTTTACGACCGCCGCGACGTGGAATTGAACTCGGAGTCCAGTGCTCTAACCACTGAACCATCGCGCCAGTATATACATATATATATATATATATATATATATATATATATATATATATATATATATATATATATATATATATGTATATATATATGTATATACTGCCGCGATGGTCCAGTGGTTAGAGCACTGGACTCCGAGTTCAATTCCACGTCGCGGCGGTCGTAAAGGTGCCTGCGCACTCGCTCGAGCCCGAGAAAACGACATATCGGCTTGATAAGTCAACCGCAGGTGTCGTAGGAGTAGTCACCGTCGTGGCACACGTGTTAGCGCGCCTAACCGCGGTTGATTAGGAGGGGTATCCAATCAGGCAGGGGTGGCACTGCCAGATAACCTCTCTATAGTGAATTGAGAGAGGCCTATGTCTTGCAGTGGACATAGGCCTCTCTCTGTTAAAAAAGGGATGTGTGTGCATATATATAGAGATAAATAGATTGATAGATAGATAGATAGATAGAGAGAGAGAGAGAGAGATACACATACACACACACACACATACACACACACACACACACACACACACACACACACACACACACACACACACACACACACACACATATATATATATATATATATATATATATATATATATATATATATATATATATATATGTATGTATATATATATATATATATATATATATATATATATATATATTATATATATATATATATATATATATATATATATATATATATAGTATGTATATATATATATATATATATATATATATATATATATATATATATATATATATATATATATATATATATATATACATATATATATATATATATATATATATATATATATATATATATATATATATATATATGTGTGTGTGTGTGTGTGTGTGTGTGTGTGTGTGTGTGTGTGTGTGTTGTGTGTGTGTGTGTGTGTGTGTATGTAAATATGTATGTATGTATGTATCTATATCTATACATATCTCTCTCTCTCTCTCTCTCTCTCTCTCTCTCTCTCTCTATATATATATATATATATATATATATATATATATATATATATATATATATATATATATATATATATATATATATGCATATAGTATATGTGTGTGTGTGTGTGTGTGTGTGTGTGTGTGTGTGTGTGTGTGTGTGTGTGTGTGTGTGTGTATGTATGTGTAAATATCTCACACATGCATATATACAATCACACACACAAACATACACGTACACACACACACACACACACACACACACACACACACATACACACACACACACATATATATATATATATATATATATATATATATATATATATATATATATATATATAATTATATACATACATACGTATATATACATTTTTTTTTCAACAGCCATTCATTCCACTGCAGGGCATAGGCCTCTCTCAATTCAGTATTGAGAGGTTATATGGCAGTGTCACCCTTGCCTGATTGAATGCCCTTCCTAATCAACCGCGGTTCGGCGCGCTAACACTTGTGCCGCGGCGGTGACTTCCCCTACGACACCTGCGTTTGACTTCTCAAGGCGATATGTCGTTTTCTCGGGCTCGAGCAAGCAGTCAGAGCGCAGGCATTTTTACGACTGCCGCGACGGGGAATTGAACCCGGGACCACGAGGGTCGGAGTCCAGTGCTTTAACCACTGAGCTATCGCGGCAGTATATATACATATATATACATATATATGCATATATGAGTGTATGTGTGTATGTATGTGTGTGTATGTGTGTGTATACGAGTATATCTAGGGCCGAAAGCTAGAAGGGGCTATGTTCAAAAACATCACTTTTAAGATAAACCTACCATCGAACTGGATTTTTTCGGTTCTATACGTGTTGTAAAAGCTAATGTCATCAGAACATTAGGTAAACTGCAAGAACATTATTTCAAAATCCAATTCACTGAATATCTTTTATCACAACACGTGACTGATTGCCAAAAATTGCTGCATTTTTAGTACATAGCAAAGGAAAGCTTCAGGTTGGCTGCTTTTACTATTCTATATTCCAAACATACTTAATCTGTCATATCTATTATACAGGTAATAGATTTTCAGAAAGAAAAAACTTGATGTGAATGGATCACACAGTTGTTATCAAAACAAGTTTATTTATCTACATTTTAAGACATAAATTGCTAAAAAAATCTTTAGATATCGAATTAGGGGAATGGTTTTAAACATCAACAACGGTAAATGTCTTAAGGTAACAATTATTAAACAAAAAATACACTTTTTGTACGTATTACATATGTTTTTCTTTAAAAAATATATATTCCTGTAATTTCGCTATGTAGAAAATGTCTTTAAAAGGATTATATTCATTCTACACAGTTTGATTAGTCACACAAAAAATATATATTTCGTGAATTATTATTTACTGAATTAATTTCAATGAATGGAGCCACCTTTCAAAGGTGTTTTTCACAATATTGACTTTTAGGGAATTGGCCTGTGTGTGTGTGTGTGTGTGTGTGTGTGTGTGTGTGTGTGTGTGTGTGTGTGTGTGTGTGTGTGTGTGTGTGTGTGTGTGTGTGTGTGTGTGTGTGTGTGTGTATCCATATATATATTTATATATACATATATGTATATATATGAATATATATGTATATATATATATTTATATATCCGCATACGCACACACACACACACACATACAGAGTGAGAGGTATATCACCTTGTCAACTAAAGGACTATATACAGGGTATATTTTAGTGGACTAATCCAACGTTAGAAATTTTCTTCACCGAAGAAGAAGAAATACGATATGAAGAAGAACGGTTTGCAAAGAGATAACTTTTTACAGGAGCGTTAAAATTGAAATACCGCTTAGTGATGGCGCGCGCAAGAAATCCCTGGCAATGTCTCAGGCCCAAAAGTGTTGCCATAAAGTAATATTTGGGCACCGGCTTTCCTCCTAAGCCACTCACTCGTCCGCTTTCCGGCGCCGAGCTTCTGACTCGGTTAACCTCGAGCGCGCAGTCAGGCAGTCAGTACCCGAACTACAAACCTTTCGTTCACATCTATTACCCGTCTCCCCGCTAACAACTAGATATCTAAACTGAAAAAAAAATTAAAATGCGATCTATTGTGTTTATTTGGCTTGTTTTGGCCATCGTAGTAGTTCAAGAGGCGAGAGCCGACGCGTACACGACGTGCGAGGACCAGAGCTTCCAGATCACGATGAAGGGGCCGTCGCTGAGTCAAGGCTGCGAGGAGGTGCACGGCCAGTTGGTCCTCTCCGACCAGGCGAGTCAAGGTAGCTGAGGAGCTTGAAGTTTTTTTTTATCTTTTTTTTGGGGGGGAGGGGTTGTTTGGGTATAAAGCAGAGAAAAATAGAAACTGTATGTCACGTTGCATAAATGGCCATACAAGTACGTGTTACCAGATTTGCTAACTTTGCTAAATATTTCAGTATTTCAAGTTATCTGTAATGAGAACATGAAGTTTTCATTTGTGCAAGTAACATGATACACCAATATATGTAACAGTTTTCACAGTGGACGTTCTCCTAATATCTATATGAATTATTAAAGAAAAAAATATATTTTTGACAGGAGATGCACGTGCGCACGCAATCGTAACTTTTACATCCCCTCCTCTTACATACATGTAAGCCACTACATACCTGTATGAAGAAGTTTAATATTTTGTTTAATATTTTGTTTAAGATTTTTGTCTTTTGACGCCCCTCCCTTATCCCTCGCCGGCAGAGCTGCGGTGCCCGAAGCCCTACATGGAGACGATGGGGGAGTGCTTCTACGTCAGTAACTTCGCCCTCAAGTGGGAGGAGGCGGAGAGGTACTGCCAGGAGATGGACGGCGACCTGGCCACGCCCAAGCACGTCCCTGCCCTGCAGCTGCTGCTCGAGGAACACGACGGTAAGAATCCTCTCTTCTTGCGTCTGAGATTTTTAAAAGACTGCATAGGTAGAGCATCAGAATGCATACATACTTATATACATACATACATACATATATACATATAGACACACACACACAAATATATATATATATATATATATATATATATATATATATATATATATATATATATATATATATATATATATATATATATATATATATATATATATATATATATATATATCACATTCTTTAAAATGTAAAGCAAAATTTCGTTTTACGCCAGAGGACTGCTCCGCTCGGCCTTGCAGTACCCTTGATTTTCGCAGTACTATCCTTACCTTAAGTTCCTAACATCAAGCGCGGATAGCTCGGAAGCGTGAGGCAAGCACAATATATTTTATCCTCGATCTTAACGGTCCATCCTCTGGATGAACCAAGAGCTTACAATCTCTTTCATATGTGTATCTCTTACTTCTCTCTAAAATGCATTCGTCTCTAACTGCAATGTATTATAATTATCCTTCCGTTTTCTTCGTCCCAACAGATGCGGACTGCCTCTATCTATGTGACACCATTTTACATTTTCTTTCATATATTCTTTTGTTTTCTAAACTTTATTCACTTTTGAGTGTAAAGAATCGTAATTATTCTTCCCTCTTCTCTGCCCCAACAGAAGCGGATTTCCTCTGGCAGAGCAGCACCATTTTACATTCTCATTCATTATTTTTCCTAATCTTCATTCACCCTTCTCTCCTCTCCGACCCAAAAGAAGCGGACTTCTCTGTCTGGGTGTCACTAATTACATCCTCCTTCACACATGTATCTGATATTTCTAAACTGCGTTCGCCTTAAATTGTATTAAATTGCAATCAACACTCCCCCTCCTCCGGGCCAACAGAAGCGGACTTCCTCTGGCTAGGCGGCAACGACCGTCCCTACAGCGGCATCTGGCTGTGGCTGGACGGCAGGCACGTGGACCACACGCACTTCCGCCCCGGCCATCCTTGGACCTCCGACACCAGCAACAGCTACTGCCTTCTCATCGGCTGGAAGAACCACCCGCCTCTTGAAACCTACTACTGCCGCAAGATGAACAACTTCGTCTGCCAGCACAGTCCTTGATGGCAGCGCGGAGTGCCAGCTAGGTGATGGCGGGATGGGTGCGTGCAGGAGGCGCCAGTGGAAAGACTGATTATTGATGTTTTATTTTTTAGGTTTGATTCAAAGGTTGCACAAAGAGAAGGATTTGTTGTCATTAGAGCAGGGCCACTGATCTGGTAATTTACTACGGTTGTTATCATTATTATATTTAATTATTATTATATTATTGTATTATTATTATATCATTGCATTTTTATTATTATATTATTGTATTATAATTATATCATTGCATTATTATTATTATCATTATCATTATTATTATTACTATTATCATTATTATTATTATTATTATCATTATTGTTATTATTATCATTACTATTATTGTTATTATTATTATCATTATTATTATTATTATCATTATTATTATTATTATCATCATCATTATTATTATTATTATTATTAATATCATTGCTGTTGTTATTGTTATTATTATTATTATAATTATTATTATTATCTTTATAATTATTATTATTATCATTGCTACTACTACTATTGTTATTATTATTAACATCCTTATTATTATCATTATCATTGTAAGCCCTATTATCATCGTGGTTATTATCATAATCATTTTTATTATCAATATTGTTATTGTTATTATTGTTATTATTATTATTATTATTACCTCCGCCAATGA